GCACAGACTAAATTATCTTGTCCCACCTACCTTATTTAGCTGTGAAGTTCTGATCCAGTTGTAGATTCCCCATGACGGTGATCAGAGTTAAAGAATGTTGCAATAATATGTAAAAAATCTCTTATTTAATTCCCCCAAAATGTGATTCAATTAACTTTAAAATATATGGTCACTAGATCAGCAGTATTTAGAGAAGGAAAAAACTGGGGGGGTACAAGAGTATGTGTACTTCATGAATCAACTTGTAGGAGAAACTAATTTGATTGTGACCAGTGCCCATGTCCTTGTTTTGACTCATTTTGTGCTAGTTCAGATTACAGTTCTGGCCTTCCTGGAGTAGGCTGAGTACATTCTGTTCATATTCTTGATCTTTGAGAAAGTGCTGGGAAAAAGAAGGCTTCAAACAAGAAAATATGCATCTGTAGAATGGCAGAAAGCCCTCAAATTAGAGGACCTGATGTGTCCTTCTGTCTTAGCCATCATACCATAAGCTGAAATAAAAAGAATACCAACAAAAACATAAGCAGCAACAAGTCAGATCAGCATTTAAAGTCAACCTGTCCAAAAGCAGCTGCAGCTGTGTTGACTTTATAGCATCTGGAAAATAAACCAAGTTGCAAAGTTATAATTTTACTAATCTCACAGAGCACTGGTACTGCAGTGATGGCTACTGTTTTCAAAGGAGTGACAAGTTGAGAAAGATCTCACAGGAGATCCTCACTAGGTGCTAGCACTAACATCAAGATTTTCGCTGTTGCCATTGTAGCACGTGTCCTCCCTCTCATAAACAAAGCTGTGCATCATGAGCACCATAAGCATCATGGCCAGTGGCATTTGAACAGGGAGTATGTCATTTGTGCAATATGTTTCTTTAGGGTGAAATAAAGAGCCTTGGAATGAAGGATATTTTGCAGATGTTACTTAGCATAGCAATGAAAAAATCATAGGAAGAGAAAGTTACTTGAAATACTCCAATGTTTCTAGTTTTTTTCCCATCTCACAAAGGTAACTGCTACAGGGAATGCAATGCTGAACATAGAGCAGAGCAAAACCATTTTAGTGGGATTTAGGGGCTGAAAGAAAATGAAAGCAAGCAAAGTTAGTATTTTGGTAACTTGTAAGATTTGAAAGCATAAGTGCAAAAAATTGTCTTCCAAGGCCTTATAACGCCCTTGAATCTATTTTTCCATTGAAGATTAATTTCTCTAACAGCATGCTAGTCATGTTGTGAGGGGCAGAGCTTTCCCACTATTTTTAATAAATTTAGAAAAAGGGAAAATAGTGGTTAGAAATGCAAGCATGCTGAACATCATGCCCCATCAAACAAATGCCTAGATTCACCTTGCATGTGGTCTGCCAAAACTTTCTAATTAACTTTATTTCCATATTGATCAAGGAATTGTTTAAGCTGCACAGCTAAATAGTTAACTATGAATAATTGTAATCCAATTCTTTTATTTGTTTTGAACTGCTGAAGTAGAAATGAAAATGACAGTCTCTTGAATAGCTAGGTCACTCATATAAACACATAAACTCATTTCTCAGTTGAACTACTTGCTAGCAAGACCTGATCTGCCACTTATCCCATTTAACGTGAAATATCCACACTGTATAATAGCTGCAGTCATCAAGGGTTGCCTAAATAGTCCCTTAGAGCATAATTCATCTAACACATTTTAGATGCACGTTTCCTAATGTCAGTACAAGCTACAAAATTGGAAGATGTCAATGTCATCTTGAGTCAGAGGAGCTGTAAATCAGAAAAAGTGTTTATTTTATAATGACATATTTATTTCTAGAAAGGCTGGGGTTTCATACAGATAGTCACATCTCACAGAGATCCCATCTGATGAATACAAAACAAGCAGTGCTAAGAACTGAAAGGTTCTGGTGAGCAGTATAGTGCTTATCCAACACAGCTTCCACAGTGAGCAACAGACTGCATTGACATGGTATGAGCCCTTCACTCTAACACCGAGGGAGGCAGAATGACTTCTGATTCAAGAGTTCAACCCAAAATCAGGGATAACATAAAAAACATGCTAATTCTTTGAAGAAAAGAATGAAGAACTGATTTAGGTATTGATGACACAGCAAAAAATGCAATCTCCCTCTTTTCTGAAATCAGTAGCTTATTTAAGAAGCAGCCACAGATAACCACAGGCAAGGAAATCTAGGAAAAACACACAGTCAAGAGGAGTATTCAGAGAAAACTGTTCATTGCTGAGCCAACAGAAATGCAACACTGCTTGGGGTTAATGGCACATATTAATATTCTTTGAGTTCTACTCAAAGGTCTTGACAGGAGAACACGTAGTGGAGCCACACTGAAGTTCCAAATCTGAATGCAGAAACTGTGGAGGCCAGAGTGGTCAGAAGACCTGCCTGGAGGGGCCCCAAGCCCAGCTGATTCGATGACAGAGATGTCAGAGCTTGACTGAAGGAAGAGGAGGCAAAAGGCAAAGAAGGACAGTGAAGCCAGTGTACAACTGTTGGGGGAGGGAGAATTTAATGGGGAGATAACACCCGCATTTTCCAAGCAATTTAAAATCTTCTTAATGCCTTGAGAATCTTCTTAAAAATGTCTCCTTTGGGTCCTGGAAAAGCTGCTGTATAAGCAACACAGGCTGTAAGCATGTGAAGAGAAGAAAGATGAAGGAGGAGGAAAACTACAGAAAAATTACAGCTTGAATGAAAGATCATAAAAGCTGACAGTTGTTGTGAAAACATTGAAAATTAATATTTATGCATCAAGCAGTATTATTTTAGGATACAGATGGTAATACCTGCAGATCTCTCTTTGTAGACACAAGTGGTCAAAGCCACAAGCCAGCATGAGAATAGACCTTTAGTAGGCTTTATCAACAGCAGGCAAGTGAGAAAGAAAACCAAGCTAAAATATATAAAATCAAGGACTTAGGATCTTTTCAGGATGTAGAGCATAAGTATGAATCTCCAGTTTCTGCTTTCATTGTTAAGCACAATGCCCAGCAAGTAGCATCTCATGCAGTATCAAATCTGTGGGGCATGTGAGCTCTGTGACACATCATCACATTGTGATACTAAACACAGTTCAGAGTCAGGAGCTTGCTGCAGTGCCATGGGGCTTAGTCTTCTGACTGCACACAAAGGATTTCCTTACTGCTGGGCACAAAAATGTGTAGTTCAAACCCACTGACATTTTGTTCCTTCTGTACAGAGGTCTCATTTTCTCAAAGGATAAATTTGTCTTTATGAATGACATATGCCAATTGGTGGGCTGCTCTTGGGATTCCAACTAATTGCTCAAAAACTGGAGGACATATCTGCACACTCCCCTCAAGTACTTCTGACACTACAGCACAGACATACACACACAGACAGGCCAAGCATATCCACAGGCCACTGCTCAGCTTGCAGGTTAGTTGTTCAGATGGTGCCCTCAGTCATATGGTTGATTTGTATTAACCTCTGCAGCAAAATTTGAGTAAAAAATCTATGACTTCAGCCACGTCTTCCACCCATTTCATGCCACTTCTTTCCTTATGCCAATATGACTGTTTTCAAGGCTGTGCAATAAACAGAATCACTGAAAGAATGATGATAAAATAAATCATTTGGAAGAAAAAAAAAATCTGACTCATTTGCTGACACATTTTAATGTGTCCCACGGGTAGCTTCATAGAAAGATGAGAGAAGTAGTCACAGCAAGACAGTATTGGAAACATGGATGGGCTTGGTGGTGTGAGTGGGAGAAGGGAGAGAAGACAATCCTCATGCACTGGGCAGCCATTCCCTCAGAACAGAGAACTCCATGGTACATTGGCTTATTCTTGCTAATTAACACACCAGAGAAAATCAGAGCCCAGTTCTGAGACCAGAAATCAGGGCAACCTAAGAGCATTGATAGCTAGAAACTCCTGAGTTGTCCAATGCACACTATGGAGGGTTTCAATGAAATTTCATGTGCCAGTACACAGATACTTTTGATAATTATATTCTATGGGACCACTAAGACAGGAAAGTACTTCAGTACCTCTAGCAAATTATGGAAGGTTTTTCAAATAAAACACATTCGGAGTGTTTAAGGTCTATTTTGGCAGCTCTTAAATCTATATCTTACTGAAAACTGCTGTTTGCAACAGTATATAAAAAGATTGGATATTTCTATACTGGCAGCACTTCAATATATAAAAGCACTACAGAACATGGAACCACAACTCTGTAACCAATTAAATTTCATATGAAATGCTAACGCATTTCTTAAGTAGAAATTAGTGTGCAGTAGAAACTGCATGTCACTTACCTAGGAGGAACTAATCACCTCCATTTGTGGTTGCCATTTGTCCTCATACATTGTTAACAGCCTTCTTCAAACCAACACTTGACAAGAATATAAAAATTCTAATGCAGTCCGCTGCAGCATACACTTAACACTCAAATAAATAAATCATGTCCTTCAGCATAACAATCTTCTTCAACCACAGGCAGAGCAGTTCCAAAATACTTCTGGAATTTATTTTAACTTAAACTTTCTTACAATGATTTAAAAATAATTTACTTGTATAAATGACTAAAGATGACATTTGTATATAAAATTGTCTTAAAGAAGCCAGCAATGCAATCTTTTTTATTAGTGCTGCACTGAGAGCACACCTAACCAAATTCCCATTCAAAGACATGCAAACCAATATCAAATAAAACAGTGGACCTCCTTCACTTACTCTATTTGCTTATTTAGACAAACCAAGGGTCATGGAATGTGACTTGGTGTTCTGTTGAAGCGTTACAAATGCACACTGAAAAAGGCAAACCTTTTAAGGAGGGGGCATGTCTGAAATAAAACAGTGGTTTAGCAAACTGTTTTCTGGGGTCAAGCTTGACAAATAATGCTAAATATTCTACTTTAGACTGAAAATTCAAACTTCCTTAGTTAAAGCAATATCTGTCTTTGAGAGCTTATACTAATGGGTATGGTAGCTTTACAGAGTGTTGCTTATGAATATAATACATACATAGTGCTGGGTTTAATATTTTATTTGAATGAAGTTTAATGTTATGCAAAATAAATTGTTATGTTACATCCACTGTGACATCAACTAAAATGTGAACTAGGTTGCATAGGTTAGTACTTTGGGCAGCATGATGTTGCTCTAGTCCACCAAAGCTTAAATATTCACAGTGTAGAGGAAGAAACAGGAATTAAAGCATTTCTACTAAAATATATTTTAATAGCTGGTGTTAACTTTCTGCATAACAAAAGCCAAATTAAGATGATACATCATATGATCCAAGAGTAAGTTTATCTTTCCTTTGAAAAACAATTGTTACCTTCATAACTGTATACCCTCAAATACAGTACAGTTTTGCAAAATAACTAAAACTTTACACACTTTAAAGCAAACATAAGCCAAACTGCACAGCGGTTCATTTTTGCTTTTTATATCACACTGCAAAAACCAACAGCTGAGAGATTTTCCACATCATGCTAATCAATGTCAATACAGTCATTGCTGTCTTCCAATGGTCTAGCAATTTCTAATAGTAATATTAAATACACAATTGAAATGCTACAGTATAGCTTATTTTCCCCCCTAAAATAATAATAATTAAACAAATGTCAACAACAACTGGATTACAACTGAAGTACAATATGCAAATTCTATTTATCAGACACAAGAAGCATATGAAATTCCTTTGAATATACTGTTGTAGTGCAGGCAGTTTAGGAAATAGAGCTTTCAGGTTTTCTTTCCAAAGGAGAGATGGGGTTCCTATGGCATAAAGCTGGAGAAAATCACTAAAGCATTGCAAAATGGTTTAATCTTCTACAGCTCACTAGTACTTTGCATTTGCCAGCACATCAGTTTGGAGGACTCCTTTCAACAGCATCTTCTGTCTGTTTCAGTATATTATTTAAACATTTACTAACTAAAGTATATTCTATATTTTAAATGGAGTATTAATTAACTTAATAAAAATCTATATTTTTATACCCTGTACCACCTTCTGCCAAAGACCTCTGTATTTGTCATTTCTTTTTCATCGTACAAGATGACATGCAGTCACTGCACAATAAAAACTAGAATTATTACATTTCCCAGGTACTGGAGACCTTCCACATCCCCAAGAAACACTCGGCAGGGAAACATTTGTCAAAAAAATAATCCATGGGAGGTGATTCTCTGTCAAATCCCAGTCTGCTGAAGTAGTTTATTGTATGTCAAATGTAATCAAGAAAACCCTGTTTCATCAAGACTAAATGCTAATGTTCCATAATGAAAAATTACAACTGCAGTACCTGTACGTAGCTTTGTTTAAAAAATGAAGATAGCCAGGCAAGAAAGAGTAATGTAAAACAAGGCACCCATTTGTTCTTGTATGTATGCATGAATATGCTCTATGTTGTTTTCTACATTTATACTTGTGTTAGCAAGAGTTACAGCATTCTTCATAGAATTTTTTATTTCTAAAATGGGAACATGTGTACTTCCAACCTGAACTTTGGAACAGCTTAAGAAATTCAAGTCCTTGAAAGCCCTTACCTTTCCCCAGAAAAATGTTGACTACAGGAAGAAAGAACAGTGAGGGGATCATGCTGTGCTAAAAATGAATATAAACTTTAAAGGTGACAAGACAGCATGTAGCATCTTTTCACCCCTATATCACACTGTATGTAACAGTCTCCAACATATGCTTTGAAAAACGTGTGCTGGCACAATTTAGTTCATGACTTACTCTCCCTGCCTTAACAATTTTAGTTCTTATTTTAAAAAAATTATAATTGCATTCTGATAATTTTGGGCCTTTGATTGCATTGCTTAGAACGAAGCTGCAAAATCACACTAAAGTTTGGTTTATATCAAAAAAGCAGGAACCATTCCATATAAATATGAATTTCTAAGCATATATGATAAGACGTTGACTACAAGAATAAGTAACTTAAACTAGATCTTAATAATTCTGCTGACATACCATTCTCAAGAGAAATACAATTCACATACGGTTTTGTTTTCTTGACCTTTTATTTTTTGCAAATTGCTTTAGCTGCTCTGCCAGGCTAATGAATATTCAAAATTCAAAAGGAAATTTTATTTCAGTATAACATAGATCTCTAATGTCACCAAATGCTCATTTTCTGATTTACTTCTATACATAAAGTATTCAACATTGTAAGTTGTCTCCTCATTTAGGAAGAATGACTGTGTATTTATAGGTGGAGATTCTCTGTTTTATAAGTCACCAAAAATTGCAACTTGATGCCATATAGATATTCTCTGTATTTCTTTTTTATTTGTATTTGGTTAGCAAACTGACACCTTGTTTTTAGTGTTGTCAGCATTGCACAGCTAATAGAGCAGCACAGCAGCAAGTGACAGCCAGCTGTGCCTCAGGCATCATCTGAAAAATTTGCCAGCCAGCAGAAGATGGAATTCCTCTTCTCGCTGTTGATGGCCAGTGATGAAAACCAACACAGAAGCAAACTGCTTGTTTTAGAGCTTCTGGCTCAGCATACCACATTAGCTTTAAAAACACCCTTTGACTTGCTGATTTTGTGTGGGTGTCACCAGTAATGCACAAGGGTCTGCTGGAAGAGCAGCTCCTTATGCAAAACTCGCAAGAATTTTAAATCACAGCAGTCAACTATACAAATTGCATATTCACAGTCACAGAATTCTACTCTTAAAACACTTTTTTTGAAGGTGGATACTCCTGGGCAGCTTTAGCCTTTAAATTAGGCTGCTAACAAGAAAGCACAGGTAATTCCACAGTCACAGACATTTTTAAATTTCTTTTTTAATGCAGTTATATTCCATGCTGCTTGGCACCTGGTATCATCCCTGTGTTAGCAAGACCCAAAATAAAATTGCATAAGCTTACCAATGCTTTGGAAATTGTATGCAAAAACTATATGCAAAAATAGAACTTACAGGGATTTGCACTGACAACTTTCAGTTGACATAACAAATCCATACTGCCTTCCTTATTTAATTTTAAAATAGTTATTTCAGGGTTTCCTGCTATGTGAGATGAGAAGTACAAAACTGTCTAAAAGTTCTATATGTAATTCCACTTCACAAATTTTAGGAATGAAAGAAAGCCAGTGAAGGCTCAATATTCTGAGGGCTACTGCAAAGTTAACTTCCTTAGCACATGACTGAACTCCACAAATTATTTTATCACAAAAACATTTTCTTCCTTAAACATTTCTGCATCAACATAAATAATTTCTTACATGAATCTTTAACTCTTTTGTCCTTCCTTCCACAAGTTCTCCCTGTGAGGGAATACAGCCAAAGCAAAAAGAAGTTGCCTGTGACTGAAGCCTGCTGACAAAATCCCTCATACTGATCCACTGCGTCACCAGCTATTAGATCCTCTCCCAGCTTCAGACTGAGACCTGGATCTCTCAGCTCTGGCTGTAAGTTAAGAGACACCAAACAGCACATGTGAAGGTTTGTCAGCAGAATATTTTTACTGTTTTCCACAGATGGCTAAACTGAAACATAATGGCATAGGGCATGTTGGATTTTGCTTAGTTAGCTTTCCCTTCAATGTCAGTTATGAGAAAGATTAAGTCACTAAAAGGAAACATAATTCTTCTCCATCATTAATCATTTGGCAAGCGTACAACCCACTGTTGGATCACCAAGGATTTGGGAGCAAACTGAAGCAACAGGCCATTGATCTGAAATGCACTACAAGAACCAGAGCTCTCCTCCACTGCTCGATGGAGGCACAAGTGTTTCTGCAGCAGGGGAGGGACATCAGCTCATCAGCAAAGCAGCCATTAAGCGAGTTACCTGTGGTGAGAACGGGATGTGACTGCAGGCTCTGGGGGGTTGCACAGCACCGGGGCCGCACGTGGGGTCTTTATTTACAGCACTACACGTGAAGGTAAAGGAGCTAACATGAAGTATCGGTTGTACGTTGCCCTAATAGAAGTTTCTATTTAGATGTTAAGTATTATTACAAGGAAACAGAAGAGCTGACAGGTTTTATATTTTAGATAAGTCTTTGCAAGGGATCTTCTGTGGAAAAGATACTGAAGAATCATGAATCCAGACCTCGATCTAATTGATGGATTAGGATGGAAGCAAAGCTAATAGATCACTTGGAAATAAGAAAAAATGGGTAATCCAAGAATAAATGTGGATATGCAAGAATCAGTAAATTTTTTCTGTCAAAATAGACATTTACTGTAAGGCTGCTGGGTAGTAGGGGGTTTTATTGGGTTGGTGTTTTTTTTACTGGCATGTTACTTTTCTTTATTCAAACGACTGAATTATCTATTCAACATATTAATTTTTATTAGGAAGCTAACTGCTTAAACATTAAATATTTCCCTAATAATTTGAAGATGTGTTTAAACTCAGTGTGTTAACCTCCTGTGACTTCAGAGTGCCATAAGAAGTGAATCAATTTTATAGTCTTTGAGGTGTAAGGAAAAGGCATTACCCCTTTACAGTTAATTGACCAAAGTTTTTATAGGACTGGCAGCACCAGGCTTCCATATATGTTTTTCATTTTGAAAGAGCACTATTATAAGCAATGCTGTTTTCAAAGATCTGAGCTTCTTGTGGATTATTTATTTTCTCTTTAAAGGACTCTAGAATGGATTCTGAGCGAAAATGCAAACTGTTATAGCAGTGATAAAATAATGATCATGAACTCTTAAAAGATTCTTCTGATTTTTTCTAAAAGGTTAGATTTGAAGTAAATCATAATAAAGCTCCAAGGACAAGAGACAAAAATTAGTTAACAAACTCAATATAATTTGCTGGAAGCATTCCTGTTTTCCCAGTTCTCTGAACAGTACCATACATCCAGCCATCATCAATTGGTTGCACATTGATGATATAATCGCCATCCCTGAAGGAAACTTCATCTTCATCTTGAGCGCTGTAGTCATACATTGCTCTGTATGTTCTCTGTTGAAGGAAAGAAAACAAGACTGTTAAGTCTCAAGTCTAAACCTGAGATCCCTTTATTCCTTCTCTTTGCACAAAGAAGAAAAGAGAAGGAAAAAAATTATAGAGGGAGCAAAGAGAGAGAAATCACAAGTTACCTGTCAAAAAGGAACAGTATCCCCTTCTACACCCTGTCAAATATATAGGGAATAAAGGCCCTTGTTCTGAGTAGCAAAATAATTATTTTGTTAACTCACATAATCCTATGACTTCAAACAAACAGATTTCAAGGCATTCATTGTATATTGGAATATTCTAACTGTTGTTTCATTAATTCACTAGTAACAGTTCATTACGTCCAGCCAGGCTAGCTGTGCCTCTGCTCCCTATTTGCATGATTCACAAATAGCTTCTCCTGTGCCTTCACTACAAGAAGAAACATAGTCTTCATCCAGGCCATTAACTTTTCCATCTCAATGAATGTCCTTCATTTCATTAGGATTCTACCCAAATTAAGAACTATGAATGCATTATTATCTAAAAGAAATACAAGATTTTTAAATTTCTATAAAAATAATTTTTACAAATACTTGTATTTTCATATTCAGACAAAATTTAGCACATAAAGACCCATCATTAGCTAAGAGAAATTTCTCCACAACCCTGCCCACTATAAGATAAGCTTTCAGCGTTTTCCTCTATTTTTCTAAATAGAGTATTTGTTTTCACTCATAACCAATAAAATGCCATCATTTACTGGAATTCAAAGTGGATTTTCAAACTCAGGAAGAACAAGGTCCCCTTGTATCTTAACAGCAGAATAAATCTAGCTCATTTTAAAATTCCCAAGAGTACTTTCTTTTCCTTACCCTGGCTCTTAACAGAAGTCAAAAGCAGTTCAAGCATCACTGATAATATCCAATTTCCCTTCCAGTAATTTTTGCTACGTTACCATATGCAGCTGAATTTTTCTGGTACAATAATTTAGAGAGAAAAAAGGCAAAACAGTCAATATGTGAGTTCATGCCTAGTACTATTGTCTGAGCCTTTTAAAAGACAGCAAACTTCTCTGCTCAAGAAAACAGCTCTGAATTGGTTTTAGTTCATATCATATATATATGGGGGCTTGAGTGTTTTTAATGAAACTATTTTTTAAAAAGGTGGAGATTACTCCACATGGAGTGAGGAAGCCATTTGTCACATGCTGGAAATGTGGAATGCTTTAATAGGGCAACTGATCATTACTGTTCCCATGCTAGGAATATACTTTTAGTCTTGGCTCTATCACTGGTAGTGCAAATTAAACAGGGCAGAGAAATCAGCTCCTGCTTAAATACTGGAGACCATTGGAGAGCACCTTTCCTGACAAGTCTGCCCTGAACTGCATTTGAGTCCTGTGCTATATTATTGTCCTCTTGTTTTGCTGCCTTGTTTTGCTGACCTACAGGCTGTGACCAAGAGCAGTTTTCAACCAGAGGTATGTGCTTCCCTAGCGGCTCCTTAATATCTTCCAAGTGTGCATGGAACTCAGTTAAAAAAAGGATCATTTTTTATGCACTGCATAACAGTAAATAATTTCTTGGGTTCTATCATCATCAAAAAATCCTTAAATATTCATAAAGTAGACAACTAGCCGTCAAAAAGCTCTCTGCCTTTCAGAATCTTATTTTTTCAAACTATCTCAACTGATCTCACTTCTGAGCCTTGAAACTAACTCCAAAAAAGCAGTGAAAAATATGCTATTACAACAAATTCAGCAGCAGTTAGCCCTTTAAATAATTTATTTCAGAAGAGGGTCCATTTAAGAAAAATGGTAGCAAGTCTACATCTGGTATAAGGCAGTAAATGGATTTTGCCTAGAGCCATGCTTATAGGTATCCTTTAAATGGGAAAAGACTGGTGAAGAGATTAAATGTTTTATTAAACTAACATAAAATTGGAAAAATAGAGCGGTTTTGCTCATTCAGAAGGATGCTCACTCTTCCTCAGAGCACCATGGCAAAGGACATACCTCTGCTGTCTCCTAAAAGGCAGCTTGACTACATCACTGTGGTGCAAATTGTGAAGACAAGCCTGCAATTCCAAACTTTAAAGGAATTTATTAGGGCCCTAAATGCTGATGAGAAACCTAAATTTATGGCCTTAACACCTAATTAGGTGCTAAATGTCTGTCAGGAGAAATCTCCATAATAATCCTGTTAGCATTTAATGCCTAATTATCACTGCAGAGTGTAGTCTGGGCTATATAATCGAGAATTACAATGCCTAAAGGACTCAAAGCAGGGATTTTAAAATGCATTTCAGTGAATTATTCCTCAGTATTCCTCAATCAGTAGTGAGTTTAGCGGGTACTAAGTTACAAGAGGGTGTAAGTTTGGAGTTCTGTAAGAGTCAAAAGTCACTTATCTTCCACCTCCTCAGAGGTCTGTCTCACACCCTCTGCTTAGACAGACCATTAAGTCTTGCCCATATGAAGAACCGAAATCAAGCTAATATATTCTCAGCTGCCCAGCCTGTTTTGGGCTGACAGGTGTGTATTTCCACTTCATCCCAATTCATACCTGTTCTATGGATGGCTCCTTGCAAAGAGCAGCAACTGCTGCAGCATCCTTCACATACAGCAGCCATCAAGGACAGCCAACTCGAAGCATAGGTTTTGTTTTCCTACCGCTCTTGGATATCAGTGTGTGAACACCCCATTATTTTCCAAATAAGAAAATAAGCCTCCAGAGCTTTCTGTTATAAAACACTTTGTACCCTGAACAAGAATTTAATTCACCCCATTATGCAGAACTGCTCACAGAAAGCAAAGACAAGAACCAGAAAATAATGCAATTTATTTGGGAAAAAATCCTATCCAAAGATTGTAATAGGACATGCCTAATACAAAACAGAGCTCAAAATTAAATAAACCAGATTTTGAAAATTTAGAAATTAGAAAAATTCTGTTTCTTAATATAAGAGACCAGGGAACATGATTATAAAATTAACTTATGCATTTTGGGGACAGATTTGATAACAATACAACAACTGAGTTGAAAGGAGTAAATGTGCTAGAGCAGCTAACTCTGCAATCGTCTCCACCCTGATATAATCCATGGGATCTTAATCACTTCTGCCCTAGAGATGTCCCGGCAAAACTCAGGCACTGATGAATTTATCACCCTCACTGCTTTTAGCTAAGCCTCAAAAACTGCTCAGGCTTTGAGGTTACAATTCTAGGATTCCTCTCCTCCAGTCCCCTTCCCCTGGCACTTTCTTCTCGTCTTTCCTCCCTCTGTCATTAGCCAGACAACACTGCATCTCTGGCAGTACTGCTCCAAGCCCAAAACTGAACAGGCAGCTGAAAGCAACGCACCTTAACACTGTGTAGGTTTGTCAGATCTCCTACAGCATGTCCACACCTCATTTTAAAAGCACTCCAAGACGGTCATCAACCTTCGGTCTGCTACATTTAACCACGTGCCCAGACAGGGCCTTGCCCCAGGCACACTGTGGGACCACTCTGTGTTGTCCCATAGCCGAGTGCAACACCTGGATAAACTGCACGGCCTAATGAAAATATTCTCGTCTTAAGATGGAAGACAAGGGAATCTGGCAGATTTCTAACTGCATCTGAGATGCTTCTTTTGGAGCAGAATCATCACCCCAGGGTGGTAAGATCACGCTCTGTCTTCCTCACCAGACTGGCAAGTTAGCAGTCAGCACCATGCCAGCAGTCTTTGATTTACTCTCTCTGGAAATATTTGGCATTTATTTTCTAAAGGGAAATCCACTCAGTTTTTAACAACAGCAAAATGAGTTTAAATCATGGTGTTTGCTGTTTTCATTTTTTTCCTATGACAAAATATTATCATTTACAAGGATGTCACCTGAAAAAAGTTTGATAACAGGGAAAAGAAATCTGTTGAAATAAGTCAATATTACTTTTATAATCTTTAACATCACTCCCTTCTTTTTCCTATTACCTTCACATTCCCAGTTCTGGAAGAAGAGGCAAATGATGATTCTCAAGATACTGAGAACATTGAAATGACACAGTTTCAACAGCCTGTCAGATAAGTCACAGGGACACAGAGGTATTAGGAAATAGGAGTCATCTCTCTGCCCACAAAGCTGCAAAGGCTGGTAAGTGCATTCTGAGATTTGCAGGCATCTCCATTTTCTGTCTGCTGCATTTGAGGGCTGCTTGCTTAGCTCCCCAATGACTAGCACATCTGCTGTCAAAGCCCAGGCTTCCAGGTCTCCCACTTTTTGGATTTCGTCTCTTGAAAAGGAACCAGCTCCCAAAGTGCCTTGTAATATCCTTGGAAATTAATGGTTGATTCCCTATCAACTGTCTCACAGCTGTCATGCAGGTGTCCAAAGAGTTTCTCAGGTTATTCACTCACTCAATGATGGAAGTACCTGGATCCCAGACTTTCCAGCAAGTTAGCCCACTCAGCACCAGACAGCTGAGAATCTGACAAGCCTGAAACTACTCACGCCACACAGAAAGTCATGACCTTTACAATATAAAATGTCATGGAGTTTCAGTTTTACCAAAAAATACAAGTTTCATCTAATCTTGAAAACAGGTTTTTTTCAGGTCAGCAAGCTCTAAGTTTGGTTCACAATTAAATATTTATTCATCTCTAAAAAAGGGGACAGAGGTATTCAAAATAGCTTAAAGTTCAAAATGACAATATTTTAAGGTAAAAGGTGGCCGGATCTCTAGGCAGCTAGGAAATCTCTAGGCAGCAATATGATTTAAAAAATATGATAACCATTAAAACTGAAATTTTTATATAGGGAGTTAAAAAGAATCTTCATTTCCTAAAAATCCCAGCTGAATACCATTCAGCTATCCCACCATGACCAGTTACTTTGAAAATGAAATATCCACTCCAGCTTTACATTCCCATCCACTACAGCTGAGAACTTCATGAGACAGCCACAGTTTCATGATAAAGCTGCTTCTCACTCCCAATCAGTGTAACTCAATTTGGATCTTACACGAGTCGGTGCACGACTGCTGTGTGCAATTAGAAAGGGCACAGCAATCTGGAGTCTGAGCTAGCTCTACACAAGCAGAAGTAATACAGGTAGGCACAAAGCCTGCTAGCACAAAATCAGCAAGTCTAAAAAAGTGAAACTGATTTAATCCAACAGGGTGATCTTAAGAGATCACTGGTTTTCATCTAGTGCTAGGAGCATAAATTCATCACAGAGCATAACATCAAAATTCAGCCTCTGAAACACTGTCCAAGCATCTACTATTTATTTTAACTAGGTAAGTAGGTAAAGAATTCAGTTATTTCTCTGCTCTCTGAATATCATACCTTTTTTAATGTATTTTGATAGAGAAGTTCTTACCACTGCCCTTAAAAATTTAGTCACTTAAATCTTTTTTTATACTTGAGGACTACCAGTTACATTTATGATCAAGACAGCCAAATAAGTCAACTGCAGAACTCTAGGGGTTAAATTCGGTCATATTTAAGAGATTTTGCAATAGCTGATGATAGTGCTTATCAAAAAAATTTCTCCTTTAAATTCAATACTCACCAGACTTGCTGAATGAGGCTGTGAATGCATGGACCTCATGGATGACATACTGGTCTGGTGCATGTATCCATATCCTTGAGTCTGGCTTTGTTGATATGCCCCAGGAAGAACAGGGGCTGCATTAAAAAAATACATACACATTAATTAATATTTTAAAACAGCCTTATCTAACATTTTGTAGAATTTGTTGACTATTGTCACAGTTAATAACAATTCCTCCATACAAAACAGTTGAGAATTATTTCCTTAAAGAACATAAGGCTTTTTAAAGGTTGATTTACACATAAAGTAGCCAAAGCTATAGCAATATATCCACAAATGCTATCATGATTAGTTGGAAGGAAAAGTTTAACATACCATTAGAAGTTTAATCATTAAAAGGTTTACTAAAGTTTAAGACATCACTAACTCAATTTTGGTACTAACATAGATGAGACACTAAATATATATCCCATAAGCTGCTATTTTTAAGGCATCTTGAATGATGAAAAAAAGCTAATACAATTTTGAAATTATTCACTAGAAATTCGCTGTAATTAATTCTTAACTCATTGCAAACTAACTCTTATTTATCAGGCTATGAACAAAGACAGATTGGGATTCACAGAAGAGGCAGAAGTTTTAATAAATGAGCCCACAGTCGAGTTTCTTAGTTTATTCTGATTCCATCAACATTCTTAGTTCAACACAGAGAGATCAATGCTACTTGTATCTTTTGAAGTCCACCTTATTCAGTATTTTCCTCTTACCACATAATTGTTTCATTTATTTAATACATATTTTATTCACATTTTAACACATCTGTATGCTAATCAATGATATACTAACTTCTATTGTACCAACAACTGCTGAAAGCATGGATACAACCAACAGGGATCCCTAACTCTATTGCTTACTAGGAAAGCATTCATAAACTTCCCACATCTGCCCAAACATCTTATTATGGCAACGGACTGAAATAAAATGTGTTAAAAACATGGTTGATCAAAAAACTGTGAGAAATAAGCCCAGCATAAGTAACTAGTTTCCTAGCAAGGCCAAAAAGAGTTTTCAAAGCAAAATTAAAAACACTGCAGTGGTTTTCCAAATAAAAATATTAAAGTTTAGTCACCATATATTTGTACACATTTTACAAGACTTGGGCTCTCAGAAAATAAAGATTTCTGGCTTGAATGGAGGTTATTAGCCTATCTCCCCTGTTATTTGCCAGAATTTTACTAGCTCGATGGGGAATTCATTTAGCTACACTGAAAAACAAATGCATTTCTGCTGATACTTTTCAAGTGGTCTATTTAGCTGACAGTCTATCTCCTCTTCCAAAAGCTGTCTTTCCGTGAAAGGAGATGGAGCTTATGCCTCACATGATTAAAGAATCTTCAAACATGGAGTCATTCAGCAGTCCAGCACTTCCTGGGGTAGATCTCTTGAGCATGTTGGGAAGAACCACTTCTGTAGCAGCCATGACACATAGATTCAAAAAGGAGTAAATCTAACATAAGATTCAATGGGGTTCACAATGTGTGAAAGGACCCAGGACTTGTAAAATGAAAAAATACATGGGAAAAAGCAGGAAAATCCAATACAAATATATATTTATATTTGCATTATATATATATACACATACATATATACACATACATATATATATAATTATTTATATTCATACTTGCACTAGTATTACTCCATAATTCTCTGCTTCTTGACTTGTCAGGACAAGAAATGCATGTGAAAAAAGGGACTACTGAGAAAATTTTTGCTCAACTACTTCAGAAAGAAAAGTCAACCTTGTGCTTTCAGCAAGTTGTTTCATCAATCCTGCTTCTCCAGCTAACAAAATCATTGATTTCAACAAAGGTTCGTCTTAAAACTTCCATTTAGTTTTAGTCAGCATATTCCAATACACTAAGCATGTAATTACAATTTGGGATGTTACACATTGCTCTTCTGCACTTGTAAAGACAACTAACACTATACATTAAGTAAGGTTTTTCTGATTTGGAAAACATGCTTCAAACTGTTGTAATTAATAGATTGTTCTGTTAAATGAGGGAAATTAAAGTGATATGCAGTCAGATCTAACACTGGAACATGATGAATAATGGATGTTTTAGAAGGGCCAAGTTCATTCTAATGACATGTAAGTAGAAAGACATTTTCAAGCAGTTCAATCATCAGAGAATTGCCGCTCATTAACATGTTCACAGGATTATCATGCATTAAGTGAATAGTCCTAAGTATTTCATCAAATAATTTATGTTTCAATGTTGTTACAAACTATTTCCACATGAGCAGATGTGGCCCTTCGTGAGAAAATAGAGAAAAACATAATTTAATCAAAGGTTCTGCAATCAAGCTGGAATGAATACATTTTGTCTAATTCACCACCAGCATGAATGGTAGGCCAGTATGTCAAAGCCAACAGAGTCTCATCTCCTCACACCAGCAGCAAATTACTTTTATGGGTTGCAGACTAAACCTTGAAAAGTTGAAAAGAACACCTTGAATTTTTTAACTTAGCAGGAGGAGTACCTTCAGCCAACACTGGCCACTGATCAGCCAGCAGCAAACCTGCCCTGCAACAGACACCCTGAGAGTCCCCTTCTTCTTCCCAAGAGAAGCAGAGGCTTGTAGGCCTGCCCTGCAACAGCAGAGGATGGTAGCTCTTCCCTGGTCCCTGGCAGGGTCAGACACCCTGAGAGTCCCCTTCTTCTTCCCAAGAGAAGCAGAGGCTTGTAGGAACCTTTTGTTCTTGATTCCTTCTCCCCCAAAGAGATCCTTCTCGTTTCCAATCAATCATCCCTTGTCAGCGTAAGGCAGCAAGCCTACTGATGGTCAGCTTCATTGTAACCTCAAAGTCAACTGGCTTATTTTGGGGAGGATAACCCACAGCTCCTGCCTCTGTGACAAGTGACAGCTGCAGGTCTGAAATGTGCTCTCCTCTTCAGCAATCTGTTTCTCACAAGCTGAGAGAATTCTGTCAAACTGACTCAACAAAGCTGTTTGATACTTTACCTGCAATGATGGAAAACATAAATCCACAAAAATAAAGCATTTCTTCCAAAGCATGAGAAATTTTGGGAAGTGATAGAAATTGTAGTATTAGAATAAGATTTTAAATAAAGAAAAAGAAGGATTAGCATTGCTAATTATCTTCTAGTCATTTATTTAGGTATCATATAGGTGAACATAAATATCAGCACATGCTAGTGTTGAAGAGGCTTGAATAATTCCATGTGGGCTGGGTTTTTTTCCATTAATAGAATACCATCGTATTCTGCAAAAAACTTTGAAAACAATCACTATTTTCTAACAACTTTTAACAAAAAATTCTGAAGAAACTTTCAGAGGATGGTCTATTTGAAAGACTATTTGGGAATCATATAAATAAGCAGAATAGTGAAGAGACAGTGTCCGAGCTGTGTTTCTGGTGACATACAGATAATTCAAGGTGAGATTAAATGATGCAGAAAAAGAGTTTGACTTTTTTCATCATCATCACACATAGTTAACTGCAATCTTTTGGCTCAGTCTGAAGTATAAAGTTCTACAACATCACTGATTGCAGCAGCAGCAAAAGCAATGGTTTTAGCTAACCTAAGGGAACAATAAAATACAGTGGTGGAACATGAAATTCATTTAACTGAAGCCAGATTTATTGGTGATGGAGCTGAGGGCTGACCATTGCTCCCAGAAGTACAGGTGGATGGTTTTTTTGTTGCATTAAGACTTTACCAGATGCATTCTGATTTATCAAAACATACTTTTTTCTTTCTTGTCCCACTTACCAAGCAAGCCAGATATTCATTTTAAATTATCTACTTAAATAAATTTATCATATATCTCTTACTATATCTTTACAGGCTTCTCCAGAGAAAAGAGCAAGAAAAATGAATGGACATTATATGAGACAAAGAGAGAGGAAGCCTCCAAGAAAAAGAAGCAGCTGAAAGAATGACAGCAAGTATCAACTCACTGCCACAGACAATGGGGTCTGCAGAATGTGTACTGATCAGGATATGCTCTGAAAGAACTGGAAAGAAAAAGGTCCAATTGCAGAAACAGGAAAGGAATCCTTAAGACAGTATTGTGTAATTATGAGCTTAGAAATAAATGTTATGCTAAAAAGAAAAATCAGTTAAAAGTTAGGTTCTAAGATACATTTTATCAATACCATATTTAAACTCTCTTCAATTATTTTGTGCCACAGAACCTTGATAATCCATGGTGAAACAATATATCCCCAGTGGTAACTATACTGCGCTTTTGCCATTTACTGCAACACATGCCAGTTATGAACCACATGTAAAATAGTCACTCAATTTACTCTCACACACATCATACATTTTTAAGGATTTAACAGGATCCTTCCTATTCTGATAATAATTCACAGTTTCACCCCTCAGACTTCAGACAACTTACAAAGAATATTGCAACATTCTGTAATCATAACATGAGAGAACACAAAGTAAAATAAAGATTTGGATGTGCTTAATTCTAGTGTCTGCACTACATTAGGTAAAAAGCTGTAGGCTTTCTGAGCACCACAAAAGAGCCAGAAGAATACATCATCATACATCTCTGTGTTATTGCCATTACAAAGAGCTCACACAAAACAGATCAAGCTTCTTATGGGAATCATGCTCATCCACATATACGGAAATCCTTCCCCTTTTTTTCCCTTGCTACAGGTTGTTACATTTGGTGTAGGCTTCACAGACTTTCTTTAGAAAGCCTTCCCCACAGTTTTCAGTTCCTTCTTTCCTTTGCTCTTCCCTTAGAAATGCTCAGCTGTGTCCCAGGCAACAGAAGATATATCAGAGTGATGCAATCACACGTGGGGAGATGCAGGCATACAGGACATTCCTGGGGACTCAGGTCACCCCATGTGCTGTCCATGTGCACAGGTCACTGTGCCTGAACTGCACAGACCCTTTGACACTTCCCAGTGCAGTACCTGGCTAAGGAAATACAACCGCAGGAAATACAGAAACAGAACTGTTACTGCTGTATTAAAGCTGGTGGATAATAACAACAGACACCTTTTAAAGCCTTCTTATGAAGGTGTTAAAGAGATTTCTTTGATTACCAGTTCCGGCTAGATAATTTTATTTTTATT